TTTTCCTAGAGAAAACCACCCATAACTGGTTCGGAAATTTGATAATAGAAATAGTAATTTAATAATTCTAAGTATAATATTACTCATGTTGTTTATATTTGATTTAAAAATGTGTATAAATAACATTGTGACCAGAAAAACTAGGAAAAGTATATAAAAATTCTTCTGAATACTTAAAAAGTATTTTGAATACTGTATTCGAAATATAACCCAAGATTTCACCCTTTCCAGTGACACCATCATTCTCTTAGGCTTTTTTGYTGGAAACGGATAACTCCCTTAAGTTTAACGGTGTTACGAGAGAAAACTCACCTCTGCACGTTAGCCACGTCTCCCCGCTGTACCGCCAACAAGTACTTTTTCTCCTCCAGTGAAAGGGATTTCGCCGACTTCCGGTCTTTGCCCATTCGGTTCATGTTATTGGCGCCTGGTATACTGCAACTGTTGCGTTATATAACGATGATCAGTTCGCCGCGATCATTATTGTACGAAAATATTACGAACAACTGTCGCGTCGGCCGCGCTTCCGAAAAGCTCCGAAATCCTTGGCCTATATATACGGATATRACGACGCGCGGAAAACGCAAATAACTTTAGCCTACAACCGAGAAAAACGACGATGGCTCTCGCAATTAGCGGACAGCGGCGGTGCGACGACTGTGAATCGAATACTACAATGAAGACATATAATAATTACGCTATCGATGCGGTCGGTCCACTGCAAAGAACCAGTTGCACCGCCGTCGTTGCATTCGCGATCGTTCGATGGCCGGCGCCGCCGGATAGCTGTGGTCCTTGGACGCCGCCGCCGTTTGTCTTTTGCCACCGAAATTCAACAACGACAAAACGTTTTTATGTTACGCCTAGGTACCTAACCAATGTCACGAGCGAATAAAAATAAAATCCACAGCGCCTATCCGGTTAGACCGGGTTTTCGAAGGTGATCTCGGACCGACGTCGTCCGCCGCACGGATAATGATATTGCGGACGCAGTGCGGCGACAGCATTGGACTTGATGACGGCGACCGTCGTGCCATTCGACGTCAAATATAATAATGTTTCAATACTGGTCACGTGTGACACATCCGTCGTAGTGCGCCGTCACCGTTTGTCATCCGTCAATTCAGGGCTTAAAACCGTTCTCAATAAAGTCGTTAATCGCTCCTTCGCTCCGTTCGAGGCCGAAAATTTTTGAAAACTGGTAACCGGTTATCATWTAATTGTGATATTTTGGTAACCGGTAACCGTTTCATTAAAAATATTTCAAACACTATGATAACTGTTAATCGTTTAAAAACCGTTGATAAGRTTTTTTGGTAATCGGTTCCCGGTTAAAACTGGTTTTTAAAAATAATTGTTTTCAATTTTTTAATCATATTTTTAAAACAGTTTATTTAGGCCATTCGTGGGTTGATAACATAACTATTATTATTACAWAATCAAAAACTTAATATGCTTTAATTTGGTCTATTTCCTTCAAAAGTTTAAATATTTATTCATCCAAACTGCTTTAAAGTTAAGATTTAAAACATAAGATCSAAATAATGACGATATAATAAATCAAAAAAATGTCATTGTTATAATTTTCTTATTTATAACTGTAAAAACCCGAAAATAAAAATAATAATTTTTTAAGATGACACTAAAAGTGATACATTGACACAGATGTTTTTGGTTATATTATATAATATATATTACAATTTACAGGGTTACCTAACCCTTGGAGCAAACACTGCAAATAACAAACGCAGAACCAGGCGGGTTTGAGTTTTGTACTTATACCTATATATATATGTGATATTCACAACAGATAAGCTATACTCGACGGCAATTAATTGGGGAAACAGATTTAAAAATAGCTGGAAAATTAAATTCAACTATAATGTAATCATGACATAATTCAATTACTAAATTCCACGAAAAAAACCGTTAATTTTTTGGTCGGGAATAGATTTTGATTATAAAACCGGGATTGAAAATACGAGGTAACCGCTTTGATGTTAATATTTAGATATTTACCTTGATTACCGATAAACAAAAACCGCTTCCAGCATTCCAAAACTAGAAGCGATTATCGGTTTTTGCCGTTTTTGGTTCTCAAATTTACGGTTTTCTACCAGTTTTAAACCCTGYCCGTCATACTCGTCAGTCGATGCCAATCATAATATTGTACGATATTGAGATGGGCACGTGAGGTTAAGCGTGTTTGGATACGCAGTCGTCTCACCCCGACGAGGTGATGGATGTCGGGAGACGACTACGTTGCATCGATTGACGATCGACCCACATTCGCGTTTTTGTACATCGACTACGATTTTTGTCCGGACGATATCGTAGGTAAGTGATGTCCAACATTTTTTTTTTCTGAGAACCATTAAATTGTAAGTAACATTTGTAAGCATAACTACTAAACTATACCTACCGACAGTAGAAATTCATGATATTATGTACAATATTATATACTTAAAAGTATAATATCGTTWGAATATTTTATTCCAATAACCATCATTGTCATGGGTACTCAATTCATTTTTGCTTTAACTTTAAAATTACAAAAACGTGTGAATTAGACGCTATTGTAAAATAAAACTAACATAGTTAATTGATGACAGTAAAAATTACTTTCAGGCTCGTTTTTTTCTGAAACTGGTTATTAACTAAAAAAAAAAAAATATAATATTTAAGTACAAGGTGAAACACGACTGTTACCACGGGGTTAGAAGTTAAAAGTCAATTCTGAAGAKTCAGTAAACACATCTTTAATGGATTCAATTTTTATATTTACTATATACACACAAATTTACAAACTAAAATAGTGTAATTGTGGAGATGTATTATAACTCTGTATAACAAGACGATGTTTATAGTAAAATTATATAATATAAGTTTTAAAAAAATTAAAGCTCTATTATATTAGTTTGTAAAAATCAAAAAAAAAAAAAAATAAGTATATAAACAAATGTAATATAGATAAATAATATGGATGATAACAATTTAGCCATTATAAAAATAATATATTATGTGAAAATTATCGCTATAAAATATCACAGTTTATTTTTTCGTGTATTGGATTTTTTCAATCTTTACTTCATCGTCAACCAACCTATAGACATATGATACCACTGTTGAACTTTGGATATCCATTACCACAAAAGAAGGAATAATGTCACTAAAAAATTAAAAATTAAATAATTAAAAAATGTTTTACCTTGAAATAATTTGTATTATTAAATGTGACAAATCTCAATTACCTGTCATGAATATTATCTAATATTGAGAAAGAGTTTTTAATAAAGTAACATAATAATATAGCATATTATATATTATCACAAACTGCCAGTAAACAACATAAAGCCATACAGAAATCAAGAAATTTATTAATTCGTACATGAAAATTRGAATTTTTAATTACAAAACTGCCTAAAATTGTATAAATTGAACTTAGTTTGAATAKCTAGATTAGACCTTTCGAAATATAAAATTTTATGTATATGATATTTAACATCCTGTCATAATAAAATTTATAAGACTTTTATAACTTAACTTTTTGCACTTTAGACAAAAGAACACTATTATAATTTATTATTATTAAGCACAAGTCATATTGCAAAATATATTGTTAAAGTACTATACTATATTAAGAGTAAAAATTAAAATATAATAAATTTATTGAATAAAAAAAATAAATATTATCCTGGTGCTTTATGTAACATGTCAGGTATGATTAAATATTAATTTATAATTATTACAGAAAGCTTATGAATTTAACTTTAAAGATCTTACGGGTTTAATGGATTAAAAGCTCCAGTAGCTGATCCTGGATTTAAGAAAAATTTATTCCCAAGTTCGAACGCATCAAACTTGTGAGTGTGACCAAACACTAGTACGTCTACATCTAGTTGCCTCTGGAGTAGTGCCAGAGATTCTGGATCGCCCCACGGTATCACTTGATGGCCGTGGCATAAGCCCACTTTAAACTGTCCGACATTCACTACTTTTTGGTCTGGATAATTGAGATTCTGAGAACATTAAATTGAATCAGAAATTTCAAACTGTTGATGCAAACAGATGTTATCAAATATGTTACCTCGTCGAAATCACCACGCACAATGTGCACGTCATTGGCAATCGATTTTAAGAACTCGTACATCTCTTTTGTGCACAGGTTGCCCGTGCACAAGACATGTTGTATTTTACCCGGAGTCAAGAGCTTCTTGAATTGGGCCGGCAGTCCACTGCTGCGGAACGGCACGTGCATATCTCCGATCACCAACACCGAACACTGAAAGTAATGAAAAATTAATGTTGTTATGATAAGATTTTCAGTTTATGGGTGTTTGCAACACATTATAGGGAAAACGAAACGAATTCCTAATACTATCCGGTAGGTCTTACCATTTCTAACTGTTTGTGAATCTAATATTCCGGAATGGGCAGCACCAATCTACGATGAGACGAAAAACGGTTTGATTATTTCTTTAGATAAATAGAAATTATATTGACATCAACGAAAATCCGAATTCCAGAGTAAACGAAAACAATCAGCGAACGGATTCGTGTTCAGTTTCAGTCGTTYAGTGTTCACTGTTGTTCACCGTTATCACGAATGCCTTATCTCACGCTCGAGAGAAAAATGAGAAGGGGTACTTGTCCCGAAATTTCATGGAGGAAAAAACTGTAGTCTGCAAAGGCAAAATGTGAACATTTAAGACGGCGTTGTTGGTAGGCAATTTAGGGCCATTAATGTGTAGAATTCAAAAACCGTGTATTGTACGCTTATAGTGATAATAAGACATTGCGGTTGAGTTTTGAGTAATCTGTACTTAGAATGGATTAAAACAAAAACAAATTAGGYACTTAATCTAAGACCAAATGTCATAGAAGATTGTGTTCATTAGAAGGAGGGTTAGGGGAGCACATATGGTTTTAGTCTGGTTTTAGAGTCCGATTGTGTAATAATGTGTATTCAGAATTTAACATGTTCAAAATCGYCCAAAAAACGAAAAATTATATGATATTATACTGTTTAAAGTTTTGAATTCAAATATTAATGTGATAGTTTTGGCTACACCRAACTCATTATTTGTCTGTGTCTGTAAATACTTTTTAACAAAATCATCTTTTTTAAATTTACAATTTATTTATTDATTTATTTTGGTATAWTTTTACTCAAGATKTCCATAATTTTAGCATTCTCGAAATTATTTAGTCGAACAAACGCTGACTATCGTAGAGTGAACAAAAATGTATTGATTATAATCATAATATTATAGTCAAGAATATTTCAGCGCAATATTTGTTTCCTCACTCAGACTCACGTGCAACATAGACATAAGAAGATTTCACCTAAAATCGTGTTTCATGAATTTTGATTCATCTTATAAAGTAAAATCACCTATTTAAAAAATTATAGAGTATAATATTTATTTTTTATTGAACTTAAAAATATTAACAGCAAAGGTTATAAGTTTTTTTTAAATACATAATGATGAGTGATTACAGAACTAAAATTATACAATTAATATGGTGTTAATTTTGTGTGATTTCCACTAACATTAGTATTATGATTATCGTTAGCAGAAGGTTAGGTTAAGTTAGGTTGTAATCGGTTTTTCTTAGGAAAGCTAACATATTTGTGATGTTTTCGATAGGGGGCTTCTCTTTGGCCATAAGGAACTTGTGAGTCAGCCTTGTGTGGCCTATTCGGAGACGATTGATTGTAATTTTTTCTCTTCTGCAGCTGATATTCGGGTCTTRWCAGTTTAAAATTGTGTTTTTTATTTCCTTGAGTTTGGTTAGTTGTATCGACCAGTCCAATTGCCATTTTATTTGAAATTTGTTTTTAATATAAGAGGATAAATATTATCAATAATATATTGAGGTTATGAAGTGTCGGATTTATTATAAATCATTTATATTTTATTATTATTTGACTTTCAAATGAAAAAAAAATATATATAAATTTAAATTGTTTAGAGACAATATTTGAACAAATCGGTCATTCCCTCAAAAATATTATTCTCAATCGATTTTGTAATACAGGGTGGTCCAACCTGCGGCCCGCGAAGCTTTTTTTTTGGCCCCTCCAACAATTTTAAATTTAAATTTTAAATCACAATAGTATTATAACAAAATCGCAATAAGAAGATATACAATTTATACCATCTTATTACGAATTTATACTTTAAATTTTACGTTTTATTGTTATACGGAGGGAGTTCCAGGGTGTCGATTATATCGCGATAAGACGCGATGAACGGCGTGAATGTTATTCACAATCGCACAATTGCGAACATTAAATATTTCTCTAAACTAAATCTAAATCTAATTAGTAATCATTAACCAGTCGACCCCGTRTGTTAGTGTGCTCGTGTGACAGTGCCAGGGTTATTACCGTAAAAAGTTTAATTTTTACCAAGTCTGAAAGAAAAAAACGTAAATTTGACGATGAAAAAAGTGTATTTAATTCAAAATGGGAACTAATGTATTTATGTATTGAACATAACAATAAGCCTATGTGCCTAATTTGTTTACAAGTTATTGGCGTTCTAAAAGAATATACAGTGAGTTCCGCTTATTGTGATCACTGCAGGTTTATAGAATCAACCGTTTATTAGAATTCAAAATGAGAATCCCAAACCAAATCATGTATTACTAATGTTAAATTGATCTTTTATTAGAATCACTAAATACCGGATAATTGAATCACTTTTATGAACAACCTTATCGTTTTTATGATATTTCAACCTGATTATATTCTACTTTTGATTTTAAAGGGAATACGGTTAATGGATGTAAAAAACAAATGCAAAGACTTACGATTCTGCTGGTTTGCAACATGACAGGTACRGATAAAAGGCGTCCTTTAATTATTGGTAAAAGTAAAAATCAACTCTGTTTTCRAGGCGTTAAAACATTGCCCGTCGATTWTTACGCTAATTCAAACGCTTGGATGACTATAGTCTAATTTTTACCGAATTTTTACGAAAATGGAACAGAGAAATAAAAACYAAGACGTATTTTACTACTTCTTTCTCACTGTACATCACATCAGAATTTACAAAATTTAGAAAACATAGATTTGAAATTTTTACCACCAAACACTACGTCACTTATTCAGCCTCTTGATCAGGGAATCATAAAAACAATGAAACCTTACTATCGAAAAGCAATACGGAATTTATTGTTAAAACTATAGATGTATGTGAAATTCCTGCATCACAAATAGCTCGTAAAATAACTGTGCTAGAAGCTATACATATGGTGGTTAATGCTTGGGATAAGGTGACTTCCAAATGCATTATTAATTGTTTTTCGAAAAGCTGGGTTTTCACAAATTGAGTCAGACGAAGAAGAACCACAGGAGGTCGAATTCATAGATACAAACTTTGAAAATTGGATTTTAATTGACCTACTTATGGAGCATTGTCTGATAAAGCCATAACTGATTTGYATACAAAAAAAGAAGAAATCAATATTGACGGTGATGAAGATGATGATAACGAAGAGACCAACGAGGATATCACTCAAAATGATACCAGAATTATTTTGGAAAAGCTAAAAGGAGCTGTTCAAAAATACAGCGATAACGATACTTTTCAATTTTTTCAAAAACTACAGGTATGTACAATGTATATTGTAAATAAATAAATAAAAAAACATGAATATGATTTTTAATTTAGTTTAATTGCAGGCTAATATGAAAACTAAATTGGTAGATTGTCAAGTTCAATCAAAAATAGATAGCTTTTTTAATTTATTTTAAATGCATTTATTTAATTTTAATTTTATTTCAAGCATAAATGTAGAATCATTAAATAAAAAAAAAATGTAAAAATCAATAATTTTATTAAAAAATTATAATTATGTATTATAAATTATTATATATCTAATTATAAATAAATAATTGTATTAAAAGATTGAATTTTAAAAAAAAATTGTTGTAAATGCTTTTTAGAATCAACCGGTTAATAGAATCAAAATGACCTGCACCAAAGTGATCACATTAAGCGGAACTCACTGTAATATAAGTAGACATTACACGAGCATGCACAAATCATATGATAAATATACTGAGACTGACGATCCTCGGCTTGCATTATTAAAAGACCTTACTTCGAAATTAACAAAACAAAAAAAATGTATTTAAAAAAAAAAACAAATTAACGATCGTGATAATTTGATAGCTTCTTATGAAGTGAGTTTAGAATTGGTCAAACAAAAAAAGTGTTTAGAGACGGCAAATTAATTAAACGTTGTGCAATAAAAATGGCAAATGCTTTTGGAAACAAAGAAATGGCAAGTAAATTTGAAACCGTATCACTGTCTYTAGAATCGTGCATCAGATTAGCCACCACAGGGTGTTCGATTGAAATTGATAAATTGGCTAGTGAAAAACATTGCCAATCATCACATTAATAGTTTATTTTTTTATTGTTATAATTTATTTTTTTAGTAATTTTTTGTTAATTTTAAACATGAAAACATTTAAATAATAATAATAATTAATAATTTGTGCATTACATAAAATAAAATATAAATAGGTAATAATATAATTTTTTTCTTCTGGCGTCTCCCGGTGTTTTTATGAAAGTTTAAATTGGTCCGCTAACTACATTAGGTTGGACCACCCTGTTGTAATGGATGATTTTACTCTAAGATTATTCAAAAACAAAAACATAATAATGCTGCGTGAATTCTGTTTTGTCTGTGTAGCGTGTAGGCCAGAGAGAGAAAACTATAGGTGTGCTGACTTATACCATACCACGGCTATAGATACCATACGGACCACGGTTGTAATAATTTAACACTTATAATATATCACGTGGCGCACTCTAGCCGCGAGATCGCGCGTCTCGTACGGATATTATTATTAGATACTTTCTAAAGCGTCTAGAAAATATAAGTAAATAAATTTAATTGCGCCGCATAATATATTGTCTTTTCGGCTGTCCCGTCGTTTTAAATAGTCATCCRACCAAATCGCTTAAATRATAATAATAATAACGAAAAAGACCTGAAGCCTTTTATACACAATACAACCAGTTGACACGTCTTATAGTTAAACCTTAAACAAATAGTAAGGTCGTCGTGGTCGAATAAACAAAAACTCGGACAGCTTCGTCGTGCATAGATCGGTTGTTGAGCACTTTAGTCTCGGCTCACTAATCATTAGTGGTGTTTTTCATAATCACTTTTATAAAGTGTTTTATATTTTATTATTATTATTAATTTAAGACCCTCGGCCACATAAGACATCGGGCTTCACAAAAAATTAAACCATTGTAAAGTAGGTATATAATTAGCTAATTCTAGATTTTTTAGCTAGTTAGACTTCTGACGAGGGCATGTTTTGATAAATGAGGTTGGCTAATTTAGTGAATTTAGCTTTTAAACGGCGATCAATCAGTAAGGGCCTCATTTATTCAATTAGTTTGAGAAGATTGATTGCATTCGATTCAACTTGTTTACTCAAACCATGTATGTTAATGTTAACAAAAATTAGTATGTATCTGAGAGTGTAGMTATTGAAAGACAGGTCTCTATTTTGAATAAAAATTTCAGATGCTAACGATGCTATTTCGAGTTTTTCAGTGGAGCTTTAAGATTGTTTTTCAAGGGGGATAATTTACTGATAAATATTTTAAGATAGGTATTCATGATGATTTTAAAGTTAGCAAAATAACACTATTAAAATGCTCATAACTCGCCTCGTACCAACTTAATTTATAATTTAAATATCAATAAAAGTGTCCAAGAGCCAAGACGCCATTTATAAACAAGCAAATTCTTTCTAATCTTAAAAATAACAGAATAAAATGGATTATTGTGGACTTAAAATGTGCTATTTTGTACGTTTGTTAAATGAAGACAGCACATATGGGTGGCATTCTCTTTAAAGTATATAATATTAGGATGTGCATATACATAGAATAACATAACATAATGCTCTTTTTTTTCTGTGTAACATTTCTGACTAGATCGAATTGCTGTATTTTGTTTACTTTGAACGTTCCAAATAACGGTGGTATGTATATGTGCTGAAATAACGAGAAAAACTCTAAATAGTTAAGTGCCTAAATAAATATTTGTGTTTGTTAAAACCTTAAAACGTATAATATATTAATATCTTATACCATTTATACTAATTAAGATAAAAAAAACGCATATACCGAGGAATTATACGTTTTATGAAAAACTTAAAAAATAATTGCGTTCGAACATTTTTTAGTCAATATTTCAATAATTTTTGTGCACGTGGTACGTGTACGATAACAATAATATTATAAAATGATAAGTGAAATAAACTGACAACTGTAGTACGTTTGTATAATATGCAAATATTATATTTATTTAAGTAAAAAAAAAAAACCTTTCGAAACAATAATTATTCGCGGACATAGATCTACAGGGTACTTCACAAGTATCGTCATTCCCAGACTTATTCGACTGTTAAGTTTATTTTATTTTAATTACGTAAGGTAAGTACTGTAGTATAAATAAATATGACTCATAAAGTACCACTTGCAACATAGTTTGATTGCAATGCAGAATATCACAAATCACGAAAATGTTTTAAAAGTAATAATGTGATGTCTTCACTTTCATAGTTCTATTGAACGATATCGATTTACATAACCACTTAATCAAATGCGATCGTGATCGAAATAAATAATAATAAGTTATATTTTGTTAATTAGACAATATATTATAGGTATTATTATAAATATATTTATGATTGTTCATCGAGTGCAAAATAAAAATAATACTCATAAATCATAATATATATAATAGTCGAAATAAAACTATAAAAGTGCTAATAACAACTATAAATAAATACAAAACAAAATAATATATACCAAACTGCATAATATCAATCGTAAAATCACTATAATAATATATGCATAACAAACTTCGACTTAAACAATATAGTAATCATTATAATTTTTAGTTCTGAAGTTCACAATTGCCCAAAACAATCTGAAAGTCCTTGGCTCCTTCTCCATGCCGCCAGACGATTAGTATACCACATCTAAAAAACATAAACTCATTACAATTTACAGTTTTACAATAGAACCCAGCAAATATAGGTAAATAATTATAGCTACTACCTAGTACTAAAAACAACAAAAAATTCAGTCAAAAAATAGTTAGTTTTTATTTTAATTACAGCTTGTTTTTTACAATATCGTTACTGGCTGTTATTGTTAGAGTTAACACAAACTTATATTTATAATATAATAGATAATAATATGACATAATATGATCAAATGTAAAACCCCAAAGTTAATAAAATGTTTTTTCAAATGATTTGGTTTGATCACTGTTTTGAAATTTTAGTATGTATGTATATCCATAACATTATTATTTAGGTATCTGTTTTTAGTTATTCAAGATTTTTAATTTGGATTTTCGTCGAAATAGAACTATTTTGAACTGGATTTCAAACCTTTCACAATTTTTATAGCATATGAATGAACATCGTCGTTAACTTTATTCTCGTGTATTTAATGTTAATACATAAACCTAGTATAGGTAATACCAGTCATAAACGCGCTCTTAATTCTGCAGGTTTATAATACCTAAAGGCAATTCGTTTATTAAAGCTCCATATAAAATTACAGTAAAAATGTAAAATAATGTCTTCGATGATATAAAGATAAACTGCACTCGAATGATTTGAATCTTAACAAGCCACTCGGGAATGTAAAAATTATACAAATTTCCAAGATTCATTAATAGCATTGACAAATATAATTTAGTTTATCAAAAGTATGTTATCTGTTCATAGTTGAATCGATTATTTGTTGTAACTGCTGTCTACGAAATCATAGAAACATAAATAAAAAAACTTGGTAGTTTTTATTTTCTAACAAATTTATGATATTTGCGTTTTCTACTACTTACATAAATTAAAATTGAATAATCACTGAAATATTTACCAATATAAAATAAATAAACAACACATTCTAATGATGGGTAATACGTATTATTGTTCTCGCAATTTATAAATAATAATTAAAAATTTTAAATAATGTACGCACGTTTGTAATGTTTACTATTTCTATATGATGTTATAATATAGATTTCATATGCATTTAGGTATGCAAATATTAAACTGCAATAAATGTTTACTACTAGTCGGAGTAACCAACACTTAACAATAACAAAATAAAAATTTGTAATTTAATAGGCTATATATATATTAAAACATAGAACTACTAATTTATTAAAAATTCCATTTCGTTTGCTAATTTAAATTATGTTATACGGTTTATTTTAACTAAAAATAAGTAAAAACGTTAACACATACATATTATTGGCACCGAACTGTTGGCTAGTCTACATTTTATTTTTAAAGTAAAATGAATACTAGAAAATTCAAAACTCAATCATTAATTTAACTTCCAAAAGTTCATAAGTCACAGCACACATATTGAGCATCAGATATGAAAAGATTTTTATCATCAGATTGACGAGATGATAAAATATTTTATTTTTAAATATACCATTGTATTATTGTATGGCAGTAATGAGTAATAGCTAATAAACAATAGAAAATTAATTTTTAAATAGCATTGAAAATTTTTGAAGTTATTATCCTAGTAATCAACATTAGAAAAATTAATTTTTAAATAGCATTGAAAATTTTTGAAGTTATTATCCTAGTAATCAACATTAGAATTAATAATATTTTCTTTTACTTGCGATATAAGTGATATAAGATAACTACATCTGGATTAATTAATTTTAATATATATATATTTATTTGAATCATTCTTACAAGTTAAATCGAAATAGATTTGTGAGTTTTAATTTTTATAACCATATAATATGGTTACTATATATACAGTTGTTTATTATATTACATAGGTACCGGAAGTTTTAATGTTATTAATCTTATTATAGGTATTATAAAATTCGGTGAATATCAGCAACTCCAGCCATATTATGAAACACAAAATTTTGAATGTCTTAAAAACTAAAATTATAATTTTCACAGCACTTGTAGTTTTTTCTCAATTTCCCTTTACTCTTCTATTTCTACCGAAGTCAACTCTATAATAAACTTTTTTTATAAATCCGCCCATGCGCAGTCGTAAACCATGGGACACCGGTCATAGCTGTTTTTTTACTACGATAAAATCATAAATATATTTCTATTAAAAAAAAAAATGTATTTATCATAGCTACCTTGCTACCTACCATTTATATTATGTTTATGTACTAATGTAGTGTGTACCAATGTACCTACCTGTATTTATTTAACAGGAGAAAAATGATGAGGAATATAAATATATTATTGCGTTCCTGCTACTTGCAAGGTTAGTACAAAACGTCAAACAGAATGAACGCTCGTCATTGAACAATATTGTTCTTAAAAACCCATAAAAATCGTGTTTAAATCTATGAATAGTCCTAAAATTAATGATCACGTATTTTAATMATTTTTTGATTAGACACAATTGCGTTTAATAATTAACACACCATGGTATATTGACGTAGGTTAATAATAGTACGATAATATTACAAGAATACAGCTGTATAATGTATAGTGTGACATATTTTTGACTTAAGTACAATTGAATAATTCATCTAATTGTTTTTATCAATTAGTAGTATTTATGAAATAAAATGTAAAATGAATACATTTTATGCCATCATTTGATATTACCTTAACATCATTATCTCTGACACCCAACTCGGCTGCAATAATCTCTAAATCTGTAGAATGAAGCGTTTTCACTTTATTAAATTGAGCCTCGAGAACTTCTAATACTTCGTCAGAGAGTGGAATGTGATTATTTCCAGCTTTATTATTAAAATCCATCGTAACTACTGTAAAAATAATGCAATAATTAATATTAGCAATACAACCTGTATAGGATCTACTTAAACATTTTAAGTAGGTACGAAAGTATTTAGAGTTGAAACATGTGAAGTATATATTTGTTTTAATATACTTTATTTAATGTTCTAAGAATAAATATTATGATGTCCTAGTTTTAAGATCAACAAAGAAAAAGTTAATTTAATATAATTGATTGTTTATGTTAATGCATGCTAAAACTTCTTTAGTTTTTCTCAAAATACATTATATTTGTAGTTTGTTACCTACGCATTAAACCTTGACCGCAAGCTTTATTAAGTTATATAAAATTAGACACATATTTTATAAGATGTTATGAACTTATTTTTAAACAGGCTGTTGGTATCTAATCGTATAGTAAAAGTGTAAGAAAAATATCAAATAAGCTTTTTGATGTTGTAAATAAAGGTATGAAAATAATTATAATTTTTTTTTTTAAACAGTTAAACAAATTGAATGATGCCTTGACCTTCCAGTAAAAATGTAATAATTGTCTATTAACAGGTACTGTCTGATAATGTCTAAAAAGGATCCAAATTTGAATACATTTTGTAGTTTCATAATTTATAGGCATATATACAATGATATTATAATGTTTTATTTTCTTACGCCATATGAAAGAAAAAAACATTATAATAGCGTTGTATTCATCATAATTATTGTTAAAATACCTTATACTTGGGTAACTTTTATATGTAATCAAAAGTTAATTTGTTCTTTTCATTTTTTATCTATTTTGTAATGATATCTATGAATGGATTAGGGACTGATTATAGACCTTATACTATGGGTCTATATATAAGGTCTATGGGACTGAATGTCATTATCACAACGAACGTTCACATTACAGTTATGACGTTTTATATAAAATACATTTTTAATATATTATATTGAAGCCACAAGGCATAAGTAATGTAAAGTAATATAAATATAAATTTTTATTTTTAGAAAGATAAATAATTTTATTGAATACGTTTAAAATAAATTAATGCTCAGAAACAGCTTTATATACAAAAATTAAAGATAACCGCGTTTCTTGTGGTAGCCTTGAAATTTAAATTGTGTTAGCTTAACTAAATAAACTAATATCACAAAAACTATTGTTTTGACACTAATTTAAATTTTAAGTTTTATTTATTATTTTTATTTTTATTTAATCAAGCTTGCCTATAGTACAATTTATTATAATATGATTACGCGCCATTTTTATCAATATTTACTTTTTAGTAAAATCAGTATACTAAATAGTATATTTCCATATCATGTTTAAGTGCATTGCACAAATAATTTAGAAATTAATTGTTAAACCTAATAAAATTTTTAAGTAAAGATAAGATACCTAAAAATATATATCTGTATATTAGCAATTAGGTATGTATTCTATTATGAAGTATACATATCTACTTATTCATTATTTTTTAATGTACATCTACTTTGGAAAATAAAAATAATTATAATTATGATTGAGTGTAAGAAAACACAACAAAAAAATAAAAATAAAAATCTTTTATTACATATTATTCATTTTTTCTAAACTTTCACGTGCAGGCCGCTTAAATACGTAATAATATTATGAAAATTACATTTAATTAAGATTTTATTTCCACAATAGTCATAAATATTACAAGTGTGTAAAATCGTGTGATTGCGAAAAATGTGTTTTCTCCACAAAAAAAAAATATATATCTGCATTTAATTACCTACCTGCAACCTATCTATATATTGTTATTTAATACTTTCGACATACAAGATATACTTTTCCATCCAAAATTACAATAATATCATCGTAAACTCAATGCAGTCTGTACGTGGATATAGAACGTATTTAAAATAACTGAAACTAAAACCATAATTATAATATGAATCACTTACGATATTCGTAGTTCGAGAAGACGTGCGGTCACGGCTACTTCGGCTGGCGTAATAAAAACTTTATTACAAGAGCTGTTCCGAGCGATCCCGACAACGGGCGACGACGTACTGAGTTYGAAAAACAAAAACCGCGCGCAATTTTTCTATCAATTTTCTACAGCGACGCGATTACGATAAAATCGTAAAACGAAATTTATAACGACAAACCGCAATATATAATATTACTAATATTATTATTATAATATGTCGATGTGTAGTGTGTATGCGATAATCGCGATCTATAATATTTTATATAATATCGTAGTCAACATTTATAATATTATGCCGATATATCGTCAATCGATCAATAATTCGATTGTTGTAATTTTTTTTCCTGGATCGCGCTCGAAAAAATTGGCAAGCCAACAGACTCGCGTACACGGACCGCTCTCGACGGATGGCTGCGGCGGTGTAAGGTAGCACGGGTAGGTTCATATTGTAAACTATAATAATACAAGAAGTAGTATCATATGGACTCGTAACATATAATGCGCGTGCGAGTATTATTTGTGTAATCYTATAGCTGGCTGGCTACCTCCTCGGGAGTAGGTCGAACGTCTTCTGCATGCCCCCACCGAGTATAGTCACCTTTTATTATTATTATTATCATCATCACATATTATTACTATTATTAYTGCGACGCGGGACTTTKCTCTTCGTATTTTATCGTATGCCGCGACTCTAAGGTACACGACAAGTGACAACACAACAACAATATAATGCGTGTAAAAATATGATTCTTCGTCGATTTATTTATAATAATAATTATTGTTATTTTATGATTTAATTGTGTGAGTGTAAATTATTGATTCACGGTCGTTATACTGTCATCATGACAGCATATAATATTATATTGGACTTTGATGACACGAGTTGCTGGTAAAATTATTTACTTGCTGGAGGAATAAAGTAATATTGTAGTAACGATCGTGACACGTTAAATCTGATTATTTTAATATTTTATTATAACTATTTTATACCTCGTCGAGAAAATGATTCGATATGTCGCGATATTTCCGGCGGCAGTAATTTAACGATTTAAGAAATTCTCAAAAAACAACCAATAATGTTTTTTATTGTTAAAAACAAAATGTTAAAATAATATTACAGCTTTATATTRTGTATGTTTATATTTTTTTCTGCTTTTTAATCGTTAAACGGTCATTGCTATAATAATAGATTGATTTATCTGTTAAGCGTGAAATACCTATTTAAGGGTAAATTGAAAAAATGTCTAGAAAATACAAAAATGATCTCTAGTCGATTACAGCCCTCGACTATCGTCCTCTTCGATCGTAGTCGATATAATAATAGCTAGTATAAACTATAAAGTTATAGTTGTAATTCCTGCCTATGATATTGATATTATCATGAATATTATCGCTCCCGAGAGTGCAACATATCGTGTTAATAATAATAACAAAAACATTTATAAGATATAATATGTATATCGATTCCAAATTAATAAAAACTCGTTTAGTATTTATAACGCGTAATAAAACGTTTTACTACACATAATATATAGGTAGTAAATAATACGGAATTATAAGATTCAAGTCCGCGGTGACGGAAAAGAGAAAAAATTCACACGATACGCGTATTGTGTATATCCTCTTTGTATCCTTCCTACTATCATATTAAATCATGATGTGTGTAATCGTATAATATATATACACATTATATTATGTACATAATATGTACAGCTCGAGGCTTTGCGAAAACTAGATCTATTGTGTTCAGAAAACCTGCACCCGCACGGCGACGGTGTCACATACTGCACTGTGCACACGCAATAGTTTATAATATTATATTATGCAGTGAACATCGTAATACTATATATATATTATATACATAATTCATAATACATACAGTATACCTATGTAATATATATATATATATATTATATATATTTAGTCTATAATAATACATATAATACGTTATTACGTTAACATGTATATAACAATATGCGCATGGGGATATAAAAATAAGTTACACATTATATTATTATTAATTATTATACAGGTATAGGTACGATTTTTTATACGCGTGTAACGATCGTGTTCGGATTTAGTCGGTATTTCGATACCGTATAGTACCTACAACTCATTTGTGTGCGTTTGGTTTTATTTTTAATGGACAGAGAGACGTTACGAGTTCAATACTGGCTTATTACATATAGTTATATATATATCATATACATCAGCTACAGCAATACTATATAGCTGTACCTAACACGAACGAGACCGTACGAAATTCCGAGTTTAATATCCTCTTATTTTTAAATGTCAACAAGGCTAAAACCGAAATGCTGTTCGCGTTGCTGCTGCAGTTTACTAAATGTTTTCGTTGAATGACGAACTGCATTTGATATTATTATATTATATTGTCGCCAATATTATCATATTATTATACCGTATTTCATACGATGTATTATCTACCATATTAGGTATACGCTCATTAAGCAATGCGTAAAATATATTTAATTAATAAATTTTGATTCGATTTTTTAAAACTGTCTTTAATCCATCATATTTATATTCGTATATAAATTTGGCGAGGTAACAAACGAAAAAACGTGTTAACAATTTTCACATAATATATGCTTCATTAAAATCTAGGCGTTTGTGATAGTGTTATACTGTTTTATATACATTTGTTTTTAATTGGTCAGCGGCAAGACGAAGTAAAATTTATAATAAACAAAATTAAAAATTATTACTGCCTATTAATAGTACACATGGTGATCGAAAGATGCAATATTTGTTTTTTTTTTTCACATAGATTAGGTTAGAAGCAGCGACAACGGGACATATTGTTTATAGTACAAAATATTCGTAAATCATTAATATTGCTCAATAAAACATGTATTATAAATCTTATCATTTCGTACGAGATTAGTTTAGCACTTGAGCACAATAAGCACAATGATGTTTAACCTACACTTCGTGAAACCTTCCATAATATTATACAAATAAATGATTAACTAATAATTGAAAAAATTCTAATATGAGAAAAAATATTCTTAGTTTGTCGAGCAACTATAATTCTGTACAGACGATATACAAATTTTGGATACGTATTATGCACCTTATATACAGTTGGAGTATTATTAGTTAATAGTTAAATTCATATTACTGTAGCAATATTATAAAAAAAGTAAATAAATCATTACAAAATCTTTCATTGTTATAGGTATACTATCTAATATTTTGATATCTATACATTTATAGACATATTCTAGTATAGTAGTGCCTATTATTTTATTTTAATATACGAGATACACCCTCGAGCGTTGTCAAGTCTGCACGTGGTTCTATTGATATAGATAGCCTGATTTAATATCAATGCAAAATATTATGAAAYACGTTAGACAACAATGTTTTTAATGGCATAATTTAATATCAATAGAATGAGCCATGAGGTAGGCATTTATTGGACGAAAATGAATTTTTAATTTTATAATTTTATATACCTACGTTCGCGGCGTAGCTTAATCGTAGTTTCTCGTTATTGATATATTATTTCGTCACATGCTTAATAATAATTCATAGGTAATAATATATCGAATTAATAAAGGTGTAATATTATAATATCGTTATTTAAAAATGTAATAAATATTGTTCTAAACACCTATAACGACATAAGTAATATATTTATGACTGCAGCAGACGAGAGTCCTATTTATTTTTTTGTCGTTATTATAATATTATATATTATTATGACGTGATCTTACAAAAAAAATATAGTTATACCGCATAGTTAGATTCAATGTATAATAATACTTACATAGAACATTATAATATAATAACACCATACACATATTATTATGTTCATAATTCCTTTGTTCCAAGGACTGAACTCTTATCAAATATCGTACATAAATTATAATGATTTTATGTATATCATGATATATATAGGCTATTGCACCAACTAGGCGTATCTACCTGGTGTAAGCGATGGAAATAATTATTGAAAGTTTAAACTAACCTATACATTTCCATGAGATTATAGAATTGCAACCTGTGGCGTGCACCGCTGCTGCGTGTTTGGTATATTATATTAAGTACCTACCTAATTTTACATGTGATCACAATACAATATAATATTATTAATATTCTACATTATGTATAATATTGAGTTACGCGGGCGGCTTATGTTTAAAAAGTTATAATGCCCACACAGCACACTGTATACAGTTTTACGCGCATACGTATCATATTATATATATATATATATATATAATTATATTTCCATTTACACGCAGTTGGCGATTTCTCCGACGAACCTTCAATGTTTCACCGTATTTACTTAGATTTTTTTCGGGTTGACATGACGTACCTTTATTATTATGTATAACTACGCGTCCGTCAAATAAATAACAGACCTAAACGCCATATATATAGGTGCCTATTGCAGTTCAAATTTATTGTTATGGCCTATATAGGTGTAGGTACCGATCAATTATAATTCTATATATGATGAGTTGATGCTHGTATAGAAAACTATTATTTGGAAAAAAAACATGTTTATACATAATATTATAGTCATTATATATGTTGTATACAATTCATTTGTAACGCGTATTGTTAAAACATGATATATGCACAGTGTATAATTGTATATATTATACATTTGTATATTGATAGTGTTTATAAATWAATTTGATTCATATGTTTAAGTAAATTGAAAATATCACTCTAGCTTTTTTTTATAGCCTCATGGGTTAGAGACTTTAGTTGTACCTATATAATATATAGTTTAAAATAATATACAATGACATCCACGGGATGAAATATATATATACCTATATTATTTAATTTAGTAGAACGCTTTTGAATATTGATGATATGTTTAAGTAATAATATACTTACCTGCAATATAAACGCACTAAAATGTGTAAAATGTACATAGAAACAAAATTACGGCTGTTTTTCTAGGTCGAAGAAGGTTTAATGACAGTAAATTATTGTACCGGTCAAACGATTATTACGCTACCGTATCGGCAATCTCCCATAGGTTAGCCGTTAGGCTTATAAAATATACGCATAATAAGTAGGTGTGATTTCCAAAACCTACATACCTGGGACTAATAATATATTTTATTAAAGGCATTAAACTATAAGAGCGAAGACCGTTTGGGTGAATAGTTATACATACCGATCGCGGGCAAGTGTTTATTACACAAAAAATACTGTTTGTGGTATAAGTATCATATGAATAARTGTGCCAGAAATTAATTTATATAATATTGAAAAATAAAGTCACGTAAAAAATATACAATAAATAGTTGATAATTAACTCGTAATTTAAAAAAAATATTGGTACCTATATTATTGTAATAAGATATATAAACAACATGAATAAATATTGTGCAATTAATAATTATTGAAACAAAGCCATTTACGATGTTTATATAATAGAATTATTAATTTATTATAATAAACCCTATTTTAAAAACATTCACATCAAAGTCGTCATCTAGGTTTTTACCTTACATGGGTAACTATAATTTCACTCACCTATAAACTGCAGTATAAATTATATGGTCACCCAATAAACAGACAATTAATTTTTTGGTCGAAATTATTAGCTAGCTTAACCCAAACGACCACCGCCCAATTACATCATAATACCTAATTTTATGTTAGTGTTATCTATATACAGTTTAATTTTCAAAAATGTTTGACATTTTTTGAGATATTTATAGACCACTGAGATATTCGATTTTTATGAGAATTTTTTTTTGAAGTGTCGGTAAAAAAATTTTGGATGACCAAAAAAACTTTAAAATTTAATACAAGGTTCCTTTGAGTTTTTCTTATTGTAGCTACAAAAAATTAAAAATCGTTAGTCACAATTTTTATTTTATAAGCGTTTATAATTCAAATTTTTACGAAATCTGTCAAAAACGCGAAAATTTGCAAGTAATTTTGAAGTTGAAAAATCATAAAATGTTTTRTGTTTATAACTAAGGATTAAAAATACAACACTAAGTTTTCCATAAATTCTGCTTCAAATACCTATAGAGAAAATTTGAAGCGTCATTATAGGAAAAATGTTTTGAGCGTTTGAGTTTTAAACTTTTATGAAATCGCTAATGATAACGATTTATCCTCAAACCTGCAGGTATATTTATATCTATGATAATATAAGGTACCTATTATAAATTATGATGACTACATGCAATGTTTTTAGAAAAATTGATTAATCATGCCTTATGAAAAATGCGTCCTAATAGAAAAATAAAATATTTGTTTCAAAATTTAAATATAATATAGCCTAGACTAACAAATCATCTCCGTTCAGAATCGTTTTTCGTATGCAATGATACCTATCATAATAAATTGCATTCAAATCTAACCTACTCTAGTCAAAGGTCAGCCCCACCACCTATAATGTACAGCAGAGCGACATCCACTTACCCACTTTTTTTTATGGAATTATACTTTATACTTACTACGGACACTTGTATTTAAAAAAAACCTTTCATCGTGTTTTATATCTAAAGTGTTTATAAAAAAATTAAATTGTATTTTTATGATAAGTATAAAGGTAAACGGAAAATTGGTACGGTTATTGTGTTTTGAACAAAAGAAATGAAATAGGCGGAATATTGGTACTATAAAATATTTTATTTTCAGTGGTTCAAAAAATTAAATTAAAAAAAA